AACAAAACTGCAATGGAGTATACAAATGCTGCCATTAATTTGTTTAGAGTGGTTTGTTTGCAAGACTAGTGACTTTTTCAGATGCAAATGCATAGGGACTTGATGTGTCAAATTAACTGAAGTTCACCAGCACTGAGAAGCTTTTTAAACTTGTGTAAGCTGCCTTGAGGGCTTATGGAAAGTGAGATTTGATTACCCCCTTCTTGCTCCTTTTGTAAAGCTTAATTTTTAAAACTAGAAACAGCAATAGTACCTGAAAGTCCATTCCAACACTTGCCTTGAAGGTTTTTTATAAGTTTCATTATGATAAATGTTTAATAATGATTTCATTACCAAAGAAAACCCTATGTCCCCAGTATTAAAAATTATTTGTTTAAAAAATTGTATAGACCTGAGGATAAAAAGTGTATTCCATAAAGTAAATAATAATTACTTTGTGTGTACTTTAATACAGTGAGTGGGATTTTAGTATATCTATGCCTTTATTTCATCTATATTTTTCATTTTTGTTTTTGTGTTGTTGTTGTCTTCCTTATTTGCATTTCTTATAAAGAACTGCACAAGGTACAAAGTTGTCATATGTACTTGAAAAACAGTTGCTAGATTCCATGCTGTTTTAGTTATTTTTTTAAATGGGTAATCAAGGGCTGGATAAGTAAGTAGATTTACTAATTTTCACTGTAAATTCTTTGCGATATATCCACAAGTTAAGGCAGTAATGGTTAGATAGGTTTCAATCACAGTAACCAAGCTAGGGTTGTATTAAGTGAGTGTTCTAAGAAGATTTTGGTGTAAAAGTAAATATAAGAGAATGAGTTTCACTTTCACAACTGAGATGGGCTTCTCTTAAAGAAATATTACTGGACATTCTTCTACCAGTACAAAGAAAATAAACATATTACTTGTGGCAACCAAATAAGGTCATAACTGATAGTATTTACAAGGATAGAACTCTGAATTCCCTGTCATTGGTTATAAATGAAATATTACCAGAAAAAATAAATTATTACAGTGAACATCAGTAAATAAGACCTTTACAATTTGAATTTCCAGAGTTTTGCCTACCATATTTTGTATAGAGAACATATGGATCGGTTTATTTAGTACACATAATAAATTTTGCCAATGAGAATTTTTTTCAATACAATGAATTTTCATTAAAATAGCTTCACTTATTGTCTCTCTGGCAGCAAAAGCATCTCACTTCTCATTTTTATTTACTTAAAGCAAAAGAAAAGTGAACAGTTGTGTTATTTACTACTGCCGAACAAGTGTTATAAAATTTAACTATACAATTTTAAATATAGTTTGTATATATTTCTCAATGCTAAGAAAAGTTGAAGTCTCAGAATTTCCCACAGCTTCTCTTAAGAAATAATATGAAATGAGCTGGCATATGTTGTGAGAATGCCTCATTTATTATCTATAGTTAGGTCCTGATTGACAACTATGCTATATTAATTTTAGAAAATGTCTTTGTCTCTCCCATTGCTAGATGTGTCTCTCTTTTTATCTTGGTAAAATATAGAAAAACAATAGTCTCACACCTGCTTCCTATCCTACAGAGAACTTGAAGCAATCCCAGCTTCACCTTCTTAAACTAACAGGAAGAAGTAGAAGATATTTCAGTTTGCAGAAAGCAACCATTTAGACTATTTTTGGCAAGGGCAGCTGCTCTGCAGAAATCACATTCTAATAAAATAATGAAATGCATGTGGTGTGAGAGGAGCATTTTTTTTAAGAGAATGGACTCTGCAATACTGTATTTTAAAGAGAAACAATTGCCTTCTTTGAAGAATATGACTCATATCCTAGGCATTCATATGTTGTCAGGGATATTGAATTAGAGAATTAACTTCAAGTTCCTTGTTGAAATATGTGGGATGAAGCAAACAGTAACTGAATGAATTGTTTAAAAAATGCATTACTTTAGAGTGCTGTGTTTGCAGACATTCATCTAAGACTTCCATTTACCTAAATACTATGAAGATTATACTGAGAAAAGATAGAATGGACATTTTGTTTGTACTTTGGTTAATATATACCGTGGAAAGGTTGTTTTCTCTAAAGCCACCATCTAATGTGTCTTTCATATTTCATTAAGTTATATTATTAAAATGCTTTATTTCTTTTCACTGACAAAGGTAGTAACCCTTCTTTTGCTCTTTCCTGGAATATCTTTATTCAAAATATCACACTCTACAGATCTTAAATACCATCCAGATTTTTGATTCTCTGATCATAAGGCTGAAAATTATCATGGAGTAGCAATGTTGTTTTTTCCCTAAAAATTATTCATAACTCTTCCCTGTTCCATTGACCTATGCTAAGCATTAGAAATGAGAATAGTTTATCCCACAATATTTGGGACATGAGGGAAAACTATTAAAGCTGTACCAGAGCCTATGTGTCTGAGATATCCAAATTCTTCCAACATTTCATCAAGGCATGCGAACCAACACAACTGGTGAAGAATTTGAGAAACTAGTCATTGTGAAGTATGAAGATTTGATTCCCAACTAGAAAAAAATAAATTAAATAATCTTCTTTTCAAGAATGCCTGTGGATGATATGCCCCCCCCCCAACACACACACACAAACAAACACACGCACACATACACGCACACCACAGACTGCCAGGTTTCCTTAATTTGGGTGTTTCTAAGTGATATATGTGTGTGTGTGTGTGTGTGTGTGTGTGTGTGTGTGTGTGTGTGTGTGTGTGTGTGTGTCTGTGTGTGTTTTTAGAATCTACCAGTCAGTTGCCTTTACATAGGATGAAAAGATGAGTATACATGGAATTTGTTTGGCTGAAAGCATATGTAAGTGACCATACAGGATTTTTCTCCAATAACATGTCAGGATACATCTCTAGCAAACCAAATTATTAGTAAAGTCATGAACAAATATGCATATAATTAGCCAGAAAAGATCTTGATTCCACTTCAGTTTCTATATATATATATATATATATATATATATATATATATATATATATATATATATCTTCACTTTTAATCTCTATAGCTGCAATGAGGACTGTTTGTGAAACAAGTCTGAATTTGCTATGTAACTTAATTTGATTAATTGAAATCTTCCATCAATATATTTGATTTCTGAAATGCATTATTCCACTATAATATTCTGTCTGCATGTATCACATAGTTTAGGTTTTGTCCTCAATTTTTATTTTTAGAATAAGCTTGGATTTCATTAATTATCAGAACATTTTAGGTCTAACCTTATAATAATCATAAGCTTAAAGTGAAAGAGGATCAGTAGACAGAAGTTTGTAAGTCTAAACCAGGAATAGCTGTCAAGTAGAGAAGGTTAAGACCCATTTCCCTACTTATTAGTACTTCTCTTCTTCATACAAGACAGTTTCACACTCAAAATGTATATATATATATATATATATATATATATATATATATATGTGTGTGTGTGTGTGTGTGTGTAAATATGCATCTCTCTGTGTACGTATGTACTCCCACATGCCATGCCATATATTTTATCTGCTGTTGGAAAATAAAGTATTAGATACATTCAGTAGAAAGTAAATTAACAAATGATAGTCAATATATACTTTTCCTGTGTCTACTGAACAGTGAAAGCAAATGTGAATAATCTTTGCAACAAAGGGAAGCAGGGGAAACAGAAGAAAAACGCCTATGAGTGTGTGACTGCAGAATAGAAGAAAGACTTTTGTGTAGTTGCATTCATTTGTTACCCCTTCCTCCATTTTTTTCCTAACCAATGTGCTGGAAATGATTGGTTTTTTCACAACTGGAGACCACAAATCCTGGCATGAGGTCTAGACTGCAGAAGTAAATGTGAGTATTGAAGCTGTTCACCCATTAGGAGATGTGTTTTCTTCGGTTTAGTCAATCCTTGTCTTCTCACTTTGGTAAGAGGGCAAGGTTTAAGGACAGTAATAAAAAGTTGTGTGTGTGTGTGTGTGTGTGTGTGTGTGTGTGTGTGTGTGTGTGTGCGCGCGCACGCGCGCGCGCGCGCGCGCCTGCATGTTCATGTGTGCTCATGTGCATGCATGCCTGTCTGCTTGTCAATATATTGCTCTACAAACATAAAGATAAAGGTCATATACATAGTATATTAAAATGTCAGGAACATGCTAATGTTCACAGCCAGTGGGTTTCTCTCTTTTCTTTTTGAAAGCCAGTATATGTGCTCTTAACTAAATTTCCACAGCTCCTTTAAAGGAAGTTTTAGTAAGTGACCATTGCACCAGTCTACTCATTTTGTCATATGGACTCATGTTTCCAGGATACCCAAGATTCCGTTTTCATACCTCTCAAAGCCTGGAAATCTCCATACTAAAGGAAAAAAGTTATCTCTACCACATAAATGTGAGAAACCATGAATCCAGGAAGTTTCTGTAATAATAATGATTGAATAGTTTGAGATTTTGCGATCCCAGGACACTGTCTTCTAAGCACAAAACAAAAATTAGTGCTAGCTCATAGTAATACACTGAGAATAATCCTTAGAAGTGAACCAGGCTTTGTTATTTGTGTACCCATGTTACTCTAGTGACGATTAGATTCATTTTAGTTCTTTGATCATTTTCATTCAACTAAATTTGCTAACACTCAGATCCCCAAATTATTTTTTTCAACTGTGGGAAATTTAGTATGGTCCCACTTTTGTGGTAATATTTCACCTGGTCTGTGGGGTTTTCTTTAGAAAAAAGCAAATATATCATAGTGGTATTTTCTCCCTACTTGAAATAAATTTTGACCATAAATTGTTATCTTTTCATCTGAAAATTTTACAAGGGGCAGTCATATTGGGAAGGAAAGAGTCTCATAGCATCCTTGAATAGTGATAGACAACTTAAGTCAAACAAAGCAGCAGAGACATGTAGAAAATGATGCTTTGATTAAAGAGTACTATAGTAATATCTTTCTTAGAAAATAAGGAATCTAATTACCTTCAAGTTTCTCATATTTGAGCCAGACTACAAATGAGCTATGTCCAGGTACAGAAAAACCAACAATATTTTATTTATAATCTTATTTTAAGCTTTTTGAACTACAAATTCTGGTTCTAGAGGTTTTTTTTTAAGTCATGGGTTTTATAGATGCTTATATGTAAATTAATCTGTTGTTTGCTTACTTTTTTTTTTCTTTCTCCACAGAATGTCCTCCTCATAAATACAGAACAGGTCATTACATGAAAAATATAAGATCTTGCATTTTTCCTCATTCTTTCTTAAAAATCTATTTCTAATATTGCATTCCCCATTGGACTACTTCAGAAGGGCATGAAGGAAAAAGAAAAAAATGAAAAAATTAGAGAGAGAAAGAGGCAAAATAGACTGGATCTCACCACTAGAATTCACCATAAAAATTTCAAAGTGTAACAGAATTCTTACAAAATTTCCTAGACCAGTTCTTTAGGGAATTGAGATCTATGAAAAATATGGCAATCGGGGAAGGGAGGGAGGAGGTGTGGGAAAGTAGTAAGTGCAGCAAAAACAGGTTCTGAGGAATACACATAATTTTGTCTGCTTTAGATCACAATAGAATTTTTAATAAATAAATTTCTTTTCTTTTTTGTTTTTTTTTGTAAAGACACTTTTTTGAAACAGTAGATTTAGCCCAGTCATTTGTGTCATTTTTTAATAAACTGTCTTTTTGATTGTTTGTTTTCTGTAACTGTAAATGTTTTATATTTGAGTCTCTTGTACATTGTCTTTAGAGTTCATTCGGATCAATAACGGTTCATGCACTGAACTGTGTATTGAATTTATTGTGTTTACTGTTGTCGTGTGGTTGAAGGGAGATTTGTAAGAGTTATAGTGGTTTAGGTGCTCATGCTCAATGGCAGGCATGGGCAGGTGGCTTTCCATGGGTGTGTCCCCAGTGAGCTCATCATCCACGTTAATGATTTCAACAGTCCTTGTTGGAGCATGGTGATTTTGCCGATGGTGCTGTTTCCTCATCTTGTAAAAAATGACCAGCATCACAGCAGCCATGAGCGTGATGGCCACAAAACACCCAATTATGATTTTGGTTGTTTTCATGACCTCATCAATTCCTGGGATTCCACTGTTGATGTCAGTTACTGGGATGGTGAATGTTTTCTCTGTCGACCTTGTGCTCTGTGGCGTGAGAGATGTGGTTACATTGGTGGTCTCCCAATCGATCACTGGAGTGGGGCCCACATTGTTATCTGTGGTTCGTGCCTCATCCTGAGAAGGTTCCATAGTCTCTACTGTTACAGTCGAGAAGTAGGAGAAAGGAGTAGTGGTTGCCGCAGTAACATTCAGGGTGGCAGAAGCAGTAGTGTTGCCAACAGAATTACTCACCATACATGTGTACATGCCTGTGTCTTGCACAGTTACATTTGTGAAATTTAATGTGCCATCGCTGAGCACAGCTATCCGCACTTTGTATGCCCCATGGGTCATGACTGTTCCATTTGGAGTAATCCAAGACACAGAAGTCAGGGATGTAGATGCCCGACATTTCAGCTCAGCAGCCATGCCTTCAGTGACATTGAGGTCTGCAGGGGGCTCCACAATCACCGGAGCATAGCATGTGAAGTAATTCTGGTCCAGCTCTCCGATATACCTCCCTTTCAGATTAGGGGGAGTGTTACACCTGGCACAACAAGCTGTGTTCGAGGGGGCCATGTCTCTTATCCACCAGCTGAGCCACAGGATATCACAGTTACAGTTCCATGGGTTGTGATGAAGGTGTATCCTCTCTAGATGATGCAAGGGCGTGAAAAGGTCATGAGGCAGTAATGTTAGATTGTTGTGTGCCAGGTTGATCTCCACTAGTGACTGGAGGTTATCAAAGGCATTGCGTTCAATCACTTGAATCTGAGACTGTATCATCCACAGTTTTTGAAGGTGCATCAACCCCTGAAAAGAGCCAGGCCTGATTGCAGACAAATGGTTCCCAGAAAGATCTAGCTCATCCAGTTTGATGAGTGGCGTGAGGTTAGGGATTTCGCGGAGGTTGCACATGGCAAGGTTCAAATACCTCAAGTTGGACAGACCTTCAAAGGCACCTTCTGAGATGTATGAAAGCCTTTTCAATTCCCCTAAGTCTAGGCGGCGCAAAGAAGGGATTCTGTTAAAAGCATAGGAAGGGATGCTTTCAATGGGGTTGTTGCGCAACCAGAGCTCCTTCAGTTTAGACAAATACACAAAAGCTCCATTCGGGATGGTGGTAAGACGATTGTCAAAGAGTTCCAGAGTGTTGAGGTTCGCCAGACCATTGAAGGCCCCAATTTCAATGGTTCGAATATGATTCCTGCTCAACTGGAGGATTTCCAAGTGCCTTAAGTGCTTGAAGCTGTTCACTTTGATGATCTGGATTTGGTTCTCATGGAGGTTCAGAAGCCTTGTGTTGGTGGAGATGCCATCAGGAACCTCACGAAGGTTTTTTCGAACACAAATCACCTTGCTGAACTGGTTGCTGCAGGAGCACACCGAAGGGCAGGTTTGAGCTCGAACCAGACCAGCCACCACAAGAAGTTGAAGAGCCAACAGCACCACAAGCAGGGGGTCAAATAGGGCCCTGTTAAACCTAGGACCTATCATTATCTGCTGTGGATGTAAGGTCATCTTGTTCAACATTCATAATTTATCTGGTGTTGGTCCTTCTGGAGTTCAAACAGTCTGAAAACAAAGGAAACAAAAAAGTATTACTTCTTCAAATATCTTCCCAGAGTACTACTATTGACATAGTAAGGAGCTAAAAACATTATTGGTAAAATTAACATTAAATTTAATTAATTGCATTCCTCATCTTTATATTTCCAGTGCTAAGCAAGACGTCTGGCTTAGAAACACCAAAAGTAGAAGCAATGATAATATAATAACAATGTTTAACATTTACTCATTTGCGCAATGTGGCAGGTAATTGCATTAATTTTTAATTGGTTAATTAATTGATTAATTAATAGCCTTTGTGGTAAACAAATTTAATAGTTTTTGGTGGGCTACATTGCTAATATTCACAGAGAAGTATTTCTGTAGTCCAAATTATCAGTTATTCACCATTTGCATGCAATCAGATGTTTAATCACAGAGAAATGGAACATTGAGACAGTGGGCCCCAATGTAGTGCTTAACAGCTACCAACTGTGTAGAAGCTGAATTTATGAAGGTGTATGACATGAACTCCATCTTTTCCTTCAGTGTCCATCTCAGATGAGAAATGTACAGAAAACATCCAGGCACTATATCCAGCCAACAAATCTAAATAATTTTCCCATGCAAAATTACTAAGAAGAGGGACATCTATGAAATCCTTCTTCTGTATCAGGTACTATGCGCTACAGAATTAAAAAATAAAGTTACCCAAGAAAGACTAAATTCTGGTGTCTAATGAAAAGTAAATTGTGTGAGGCCTTGTTAAAAATTATTAAGAATTTTTAGTTGGTGACAACTGACCCTTAACCAAGAACAGAAACGCCTAACTGTTTTTTAGTTTACAACTGTACATGGTACATGCCCATGTCAATCCCTAGTATCTTCTCCAATGTTTAAAACACTCCTCTGACATGGGCATTATGTTCTCAACTTTAAAGAATAAGAATCACAGGAGAAGAAACACGCAAGAAGTCATATTGTTAAAACATGAAACCAGGACTCAGAGGTCATCAGATTGGTCCACAGCAGAAACATCTTTTGAACATGCTAGTGAAGAAAAAAGGTTAGTGTGTAATATGTTTCACAATTAATTTATTTAAATATCTTCCCCTGAAAGCAACCTCAGCTATAAGTGATGACAACTTAATTTATGCTTTCATGAGGATGGACTAACACACACACACACACACACACACACACACACACACACACACACACACATACACACACACACACATATATTATATACATATGTATATATGATATATACGGATATATAAACATATATATGTGAATATGAGCTTTCATAGAGATTCACATATGTAACTCAGTGTAATATAATCTGCTGATGTCTGCAGTGGAAGGGACAATTGCTAATTTAATTTCATAAATGTCAAATTTGATTTAAAAAAAAATAGGTGTAACATTTTTTTGTTTTTGTTTCTATGAACCTTTCAGAAAGAAAGAAGTGAGGAGGTTAGAAGTTCACAACATTCTAATGAAAAGTGGACATGATTAGTTTGTATTAGTTACAATACTGGACAAAGTTACTCATACTTTCTGTAGCCCAGTGTCTTCTCTTCACTGGTAAAATAGACATGACACCATCACTCACTCCTCAAGGTTGTGAGTATAAAAGCTAATGCAGTTAAAGAACTTAAAATATACCTACCATGTTGTGAAAAATGAATAAATGTTAGACATTTTTATTATTATCACTGTTTCTACTTTTGGAGTTTCTCAGCCAGACATCTTGCTCAGTACTAGAAATGTAAAGACGAGGAATGGAATCCTTGTCCCTGGGGGAATATAAATTTAAATGGTAAAATATCAAGGGAATAGATATGAACAATAATCTATGTTCATCACTATGAGACAAAATATTGGTGCCAGGCTCCAATGCCAGAATAGCACAGCGCTGGCAAATGGGTGGGGGAGAGGGCACAAAGTCAGGAGAGAAGGGAAGGAGGCTGTAGATCTGGGAAGAACTGGGTAAAGGAGAGTAAATGTGATGAAAATAAGATATATTAAATTCTCAAAGAACTAATACAAATAAACATTTTAAATCCTGTTTATTTATATTTTCATTAGAAAGCATTGTAACTTGCAGCAATCTTGACTATGGACAGTTTTACATGCAAATTCATTTTCCACAATATGGATTTAATTAAAGTCATTAAGAATAAAAGATTTTATTTCAAAGTCATTTATTAATAAACCAATTCATGTTTTTTTATAAGGTTGGCATCTAAGTGCCCTTTCCCACTCTCCTTTCTTCCATTTTACATACCATGACCCTCCTCACAAAATCCTAGGGACTGGAGCAGTATAGGTTAGTTGTAAAAACATAGTTGTAAAGACAATAAGTCCTTATTCTGTCACTTGTCACATTTTGTATACAATAAGTCTCAATAGAGAATGGATTTCATACCAATTTGCAAATCTCTGTGCCGTTGAAACTGGGAAGCTTATTTCAACTTTTTATTTGTATATTCTTTGAAAGGTAGCACTGCTTTTCACTCCAAAGTTCTTTGATAAGACTGTCACATAATACAAGCTATTGCCTAAGGTAGGTAATATAGAATATTCCCTTAATGCATCTTAAAAATTAAGTGGTAAAGACATTCTGTTTATTCCTTTAACACACCCTTTCAATCTTCATATAAAAGAAAACATGTGATACTTGTCTAGCTTTTTTGTTTAACTCAATGAATATCAGATTCATCTATTTTCCAGAAAACATTGTGATTTTCCTCTTTTTCAATGGATGTTTAAATATCTCCTGATTAATGTTATCATAAGGAATAGCTGACATGATCATGAATACACATGAAAACATAGGCATATGAATACAGTTGTTACTTTCAGATGATATGAGTCTCATATTCCTATTTACTAAGGCTGGGTTGTAGTTTCTATTTCTGGCTCCCTTCAAGGTCATTGTATTATTGCAATTAATGAAGTTTCTGATGAATCAGTCATAAGTAATGATTTATGAATTATATTTGGTTCAAAGCTAATTTTTAACCTATAGCGAATAATTCTAGTATATTGCACTGAATCAAATAAACTATCAACAAAAGATTTTCTACTTTAAAATCTAAATTATGTTATTTTGCATCAAAAGTCAAACTTCAACATCTCTTTCATAAAATCATTTTATCACATCAAAAGGAAATCAATTTAAGCTATGCATTATCCATTACATTCCATCTCACAACATTTACTTACAAATGGATTTGTGTGGGTTTTGAATTAAACTACAATGCTTTAAGCTATGTCCTGAAGGATATCTTGACTTTGTCAATAGGCCTTTCTTCCCACCTATGCATTCCATGCACTGATAACCTAGTGCATTTGGAAAGGTGGATTGAGGGGAAATGCTTTGTTTAGCACAGTCTTTTTGCTGGGTTGATACAGGCTGAGCATAGACAGTAGAATTAGTATCGAAAGTGGAGGTAGATAGATGAATTAAGTTCATCCAAAATACCTAACTATCCACATATACCCTTAATGATTCTCAATAAACATGAAGCACCAAAACTCCTTATCTTAAATGAATCTTAATAATGATAATCTCAAATACACCCCCTGCATCTTCGCACCCCCTCTCTCTGTCTCTGTCTCTGTCTCCCCCCCCCCCTCTCTCTCTCTCTCTCTCTCTCTCTCTCACACACACACACACACACACACACACACACACACACACAGGGAGAGAAAAAGAGACTCTATATCAACAGGACATCTTCATTTTTCTTTGTGTGTTTCAAATTATATTTTTTTATTGATTGAGAATTTCATAAAATGTATTTTTTCATATTAACTCCCCCTTCCCTACCTGAACCCCCACATGTTATGGTTATCCTTGTCAATTTGACTACATCTGGGATTTACAGAACCACAAATGTCTGGGCACACCTGTGAGGGATTTTTATTTCGTAATTAAACCATTTGAATTGAGCAAGACCACTTCTAATCCAGATTTTTTAGGTGAAAAGATATACGTTTAATCAAGATTTTTGAGTTGGGAAGATTCATGTTTAATCTGGTCCACCTCTTCTGCTGACAGTCTATATAAAAGACATGGAAGAAGGAAGTTCTCTTTCTTTGCCTGCTTATTCTTATGTTCTCTATCAAGTCTATTCCTTCACTGGCTTTAGGAACAAATTCTTCTGGATTCTGGCATATACTGGAGTAGCTGAGACATCCAGTCTTATGGATGGAACATATACTGGATTTGTGGACCTTCCTTTAGTAGATGGCCATTATTGGACTAGCTGGACTACATCCTATATGCTATTTTAATAAATCCTCTTTCTACACACACACACACACACAGAGAGAGAGAGAGAGAGAGAGAGAGAGAGAGAGAGAGAGAGAGAGAGAGAGAATATATATATGAATGTTATATATATATATATATATATATATATATATATATATATATATATATATATATATTTATAATTTCTGTTCCTCTAGAAAACCCTGACTAATACACCATCTAAATTTGTGACTTCTTTTTTTAACTCATCCTTCAAATTTTGCATCCCAAATTCTCTGTTCTTACAACCACTGTGAGTTTATCCATGTAACTGCTCTATCATGTCAGGGAAACCCTGTTTCATGGTATACATGAACACAAACAGGGAAACCCTGTTTCCAACACTTCAAACTTTTACAGTCTTTCTGACCCTCTTTCATGATGAGCTCTGAACCTTGGAAAGATGTGAGTGAGATGTAGATGTCTCATTTAGGGCTGAGCACTCGTATTCTCTTATTCTCTAAACATTCAACTGATATGGATTTCTAATTGCTATCTACTAAGAGAAGTTTCCCTCATCCAGCACAAAACTGAACTCTAGTGGGTTAAGAACCTCAACATAAACTCTATGACTTGAGACTGATAGAAGTAAAAAATGATGATTATGATTGAATGTATAAGCATGTAAAAGGATTTTCTAGGTAGGATCTTGGTAGTTCAGTAATTAAGACCAATATTTGCCCAGTGGGATGTGATGGCTCTACTTGGTTGTCTACTTGACAACACCTCAAATTAACTAAAACACAAGTCAAGTGGCAAGGTATATCTATGTGGGATTTTTCTTAATTACATCCTTCAAAGTGGGAAAACTAACCTTTAATATGGACAACACCTTGTACTGGCATCCTATATAAAAGAATTGGAATGAAAAGGCATTTGAGTTTTGCCTGTTTGCCCTCTCTTAAAAGCCCATTCCTTAATTGGCATTAGAACTTATTTCTTCAGAAATCTGAAATACACTGAAGTCTAGCTGGGGCATCCAACCTCATGGAGTGGATAACTACTGGTTTCCTGGACTTTCTGTTGGTAGATAGCCATTGCTGGTCTAGCTGGGTTATGGCCTTTAAGCAACTCTAATACATCCCCTTTTTGTATATATAGATTCATTGTTTAAGTTCTGTTCCACTAGAGAAACCTGAATACTATGTAAGGTCATGAGAAACTAAAATACTTCTTTTTTTTTTTTAATTTATTTTGCAATACAATTCAGTTCTACATATCAGCCACGGATTCCCTTGTTCTCTCCCCTCCCGTCCCCCTCACCTTCCCCCCAACCCCCCCCCCCCCCCCCATTCCCATCTCCTCCAGGGCAAAGCCTTCCCCACAGACTGAGGTCAACCTGGTAGACTCAGTCCAGGTAGGTCTAGTCCCCTCCTCCCAGGCCGAGCCAAACAATCCTGCATAGGCCCCAGGTTTCAAACAGCCAACTCATGCAATGAGCACAAGATCTGGTCCCACTGCCTGGATGCCTCCCAAACAGATCAAGCCAATCAACTGTCTCACCCATTCAGAGGGCCTGATCCAGTTGGTGACCCCTCAGCCATTGGTTCATAGTTCATGTGTTTCCATTCATTTGGCTATTTGTCCCTGTGCTTTATCCAACCTTGGTCTCAACAATTCTCGCTCATATAAACCCTCCTCATTCTCACTAACTGGACTCCCAGAGATCCACCCGGGGCCTAGTCATGGATCTCTGCATCCAGATCCCTCAGTAGTTGGATGAGGTTTCTAGCACAACAATTAGGGTGTTTGGCCATCCCATCACCAGAGTAGGTCAGTTCGGGCTGTCTCTCGACCATTGCCAGCAGTCTGTTGTGTGGGTATCTTTGTGGATTTCTGTGGGCCTCTCTAGCACTTTGCTTCTTCCTATTCTCATGTGGTCTTCATTTACCATGGTCTCCTATTCCTTGTTCTCCCTCTCTGTTGTTGATCCAGCTGGGATCTCCCGCTCCCCCAAGCTCTCTTTCCCTCAACCCTCGCCTTTCATTACCCCCACTCATGTCCAGGCTGTAGACCTAAACAGAGAATTCTCAACAGAGGAAACTCAAATGGCCGAAAGACATTTAAGGAACTGCTCAACATCCCTAATCATCAGGGAAATGCAAATCAAAACAACTCTGAGATACCACCTTACGCCTGTCAGAATGGCTAAGATCAAAAACACTGAAGACACCTTATGCTGGAGAGGATGTGGAGCTAGGGGAACTCTCCTCCACTGCTGGTGGGAATGCAAGCTTGTACAACCACTTTGGAAATCAATATGGCACTTTCTTAGAAAATTGGGAATCCATCTCCCCCAAGATCCAGCTATACCACTCTTGGGCATATACCCAAGAAATGCTCAACCACACCATAAGAGCACTTGTTCAGCTATGTTCATATCAGCATTGTTTGTAATAGCCAGAACATGGAAACAACCCAGATGCCCTTCAACTGAAGAATGGATAAACAAAATGTGGTACATATACACAATGG